CCGGCCCCCAAATATGTCATTTTATGTCTTATTATTGGTGCCTTCTTATGGGCTTACATTTATATTTGGGACCCTGGTCAGAAATCTGCGGGGGATCTCATTCCTTCCCAGTGTTTCAGGAAGGATGCCATGAGGTCAGGGAGACGTTTCTTTTTTAGCAAGCAAGGGCCCAGGCAGTAGCCCCACCTTTGCTTTTCTGGGCTCCTTTTTCTCGCTAGTTTGGGAGCTTCAGTTCCTCATCTACCTTAATGCTTTGACCTTGGGCATTGTGGCGAAAGTCCTCACGCTGTCACACATTCTGACCAAGAGCCCACTCAGATCTTGGCTGGAATTCTCTGCCATTAGCACCAGTACTGTGAATCAGTACATTAGGAATGGCTTTTGAAAAACAAGTGTTTCAATAACTATCAGGTAGGATTTCAGCATTTTAGGAGGAATGGTCAGTGTGAATGTTGAGCAGCAGTTTCTAGTCCATGGTGGCTGTGCAGATAAGCAGTTTCATTGGTAAGTGTCTGATTTGGTTTTGCTAACCCTCTGGGAAGAATACTTCTACTGAGACCTAGCCAGACACACGTGAATTTTAATTTTTTGTATACTGTTTCTAGAAGACAAAATTAACATGAATTAATAGCTTTTTCCCCCCTGAAAAACCCATTTATCCCTCAGCCTTGAAATTATAGACTTAGAAAGTAAATTGGACTACATAGCCTAAATTTTGTTAAAGTTGTCTTATCACTGGAGTTTTATTTTATTTTATTTTGAAATTGGCCTGTTAGGATAAATCAAGGAATTTAATTGTTTTTTTTTGCGAACAGAGTTACATTTATAAAGGGAGCTATGAAGACAGCTTAAAAAAGATTTTATTTTTATTTTTTACAGAAATTTTATGTTTGGGACTTTAATTATTAAGTTAGTTTTCCACAAGAATTCTATTTAAGTTGTATAAGTTCTTTCCATTGACATTTATTTGGGGATTTTTTTTTTTTTAAGAGCATGGTACCTGTGATAGCATTCCTTTAGGGTTGCTCTGCGGTGATACTTTACCGTGCCATCTGTGAAGAATGTTATAGACAATTTTTTAGCATGGTGAATACAATTTTTTTACCTGAGGTGTTTACTTCAATAGTCATTTCTAAATTTATGACTGAAAGTGACATTTAGGGACTGCACAGTGATTTTTTTAGTACTGGTAGTTTTATTGTCCAAATGCACTATAAAGATTTCATTAGATTTTGTTTTGTTTTGTTTTGTTTTAAAAGAACATTTTACTTAGTATTTCTCTTTTCATCTATTTTATGAGGCAATAAGAATCTTCTGTTGCGCCAGAGTGGAAACTGTTTTATATTGTTTATTTCATATTGTTAATGGCTGCACTGTTCAGTACACTAGCCAACTACCATGTGTGGCTATTTAAATTTAATAAAATTAAAAATTAAGTTCCTTAGTTGCAGAAGCCATATTTCAAATGCTTAATCGTTACATGTGGCTAGTGGCTACTGTAATGGGCAGCACAGATCTAGAACAGTTCCATCATCGCAGAAAATTCTGTTGGACAGCGCTGGGCTTACAGTGTGTAGGATGGTGACAGACTCATATATTGCAGTTGTTGTGATAGCTTTCCTCCTCTTTGGGGTAGATTTTTAAAAAAAATTTTTTATTGGGGAATTGGGGGGAGTTGGGGGATGGGAACAGTGCTGGGGAATTGGGGGAAGGGGAACAGACAAGTTGCTGTCCTTTTGTTCTTCAGTCTAGTTGTGGAGGACGTTGCTTCACTGGCCCAAGTTGGCACCATCATTGCGCTCTTCCCGGGCGAGGCAGATCAGTCGCCGGCTTCTGGACAGCTGCTCACAGTGGCTTGAGGGCCACTCACGCTGGCTGCTGGCTACACACGGTAGCCCATGGCAACCCACTGCAGCAGGGGCTGAAGCCTACACCGTCGCCGGCGACTCACGGCAGCCCAGCTCCAGGTTGAGCTGTTGTTCAGCATCTTAGCTGTGGAGGGCAGTGTCACTGGCCCTCATATGTGGAATCCTAACCGGGCATCCCAAGCCAGTTCGTAACCATCGCGCCACTTGGCCGGCCCTGGGGTAGATTTTTTTTCATTTTGCAACTCCAGTCATAATTTTTCAGGCTCTGGGAGAATTTTATAATTTACTCTTTCTGGTTATAATATGTATTTTATTTTGCCCTAACGATTATAGTATATATATTTTTTTCAAATTATACACATTCCTACCACATGGAGGTGACTATTACTAACATCGTGGTATTTGTCCTAGCTTTTTATACTCACATATATAAATATTTTACAAAATTAGTACTACTCTGTGTGTATTGATTTATAACCTCCTTTTTAATGTTTACACATGTCACAGCCAGATACAGGTGGACTTTTTCTCAAATTTATGTCCACTTGGCAAATATTGATAGAGTACCTCCTATGTGCCAGGTATTGTTTCACGTTTTGAGCATAGAACACTACATAACTCTAGTCTTGTCCTCAGAGAACTTTCATTCTAGTGAGGGAAGACCAGCTACAAACAAAACACATATAATAACAGATGGTGATAAGTGCTGTGGAGATATAACAAACAGGATGAGTTACACAGCTTTATTCTTAGGCAAGTTTAAGAACCTGCCCCCTCTCTTTATATAATTTAAAAAATTAAATTTATTGGGTAACATTAGTTAATATAAATTTCAGGTGTACGACGTTCTAATATACTTGCCTACTCTTATGTGTGCTCATCACCAGAAGAGTCTCCTTCCATCACCTTGTGTTTGACACCCTGTACCCTCTTCACCCTCCCCCACCCCCCTTCCCTTCTGGGACTGCCATTCCGTTGCCTGTATCTATAAGTTGTTTTTGTTTGTTTTGTTTGTTCATTTGTTGCTTTTGTTATTGTTTTTTTAAATTCATTTTTGTTAGTATTAATTTTGGGAGGACAGTTCACTGTAGGCCTCTGCTCCACCTTCATTAGTAGCAACAGTTAGGTCGACTTTGGAGAGCTGCTCTTGGTCCCATGCATAACTTTCGTCCTTTCTACAACTGCTATTTCATTTATAAGTCAGTTGCATTAGTGGTGGGGTGGATGATAAAAGCTTGGTCAACTGAATTGCTTGGTTGTTCATTACCTCTTTTGAGGTTGATACTTTCTGTGGTTAAGGTAATGCAAAGAGCTTCATACCTGGTGTCCATTTTCACATGTCGATCTACATGCATCTTCCCAACATATCCTTGGTCTCAATTGCTTGTTTTTTTCTAGGACTTATCTCTCATTTCCCTGAGACCATGTTTCTTATCAATGTACTTGTTACTTTTTGCTCATCTGATTCAATTAGCATAATGATATGAAGATTATGGACCAGATTGAATTTCTTTGGATTGTCCAGATGGTCCAGGTTCCTTGGGACTATGTTTGACAAAGGGCCAGAAAGTTAACACAGCCCTGGTTCAAGCATGTGAGTGTATGCTGCTGTTGGTTGCATGTGAAAGTCAACTGCTTTTGGTCCTCCTCTCTGATAGAATTAGAAAACCATGCTTTCCCAGGTCAGTGACTGCATGCCACTGACCTGACAGAGAACAATAACCCTATCTATATATGCTGCCAAAGATGACCTCTGTCTTCTGCACTATGGTCTTGAATTGTTGATGAATCATCCTCAGCCTTTCATTGTCTTCATAGTATTGATTGCCCCTAGAAATAGCTATCCAATTCCATAGTTCTTTTAATTACCACTTTTCTTGTAGTAGTAATGAAATGCCTGAAATATTGCACCAGCCAGTGCCTTCCCTTTCTCTGACAAAATTTTAGAAATTGCCATTGCACTGTTGCAGTGTACCAGAGACTACACACCATCATGAGTGGTTCTTCATTGCTAGCTAGTCAGTGACTGATACTGCTTCAAAATCTCCTTTGGGATTCAACTTCATAGGACCACTTTTGATACCAACTTTCTCAGGTCAGGTTCTTCAAAAACATACTTTGAAACTTCAGAATTCGCATACAGGAGGTTTGTTGAGAAGTGCTTCTGGGATCAATCCCTGTGAGAGAAGGTGTAAGGGAAACAGCATTAGGAAGATGGAGAAATTGAATTGTCATGTAATTGCAAGAGCAACCTCAACTGATCATACAAGGTTTGCTGAAGCTGGAATAACCCTTCCAAGACATCCCACATTGAAGGAGAGGGCTGAGCTGCTTTGCTGCATGTCAAGCAGTCATTGAATGTGGCCTGCTTTGGAATGGTCACATAAACTTGGATGAGGGAGTTCTCTGGAGCTTAGGGAAGTTCTGGAGGGTTTAGTTGTTAACCATCAGCAGGCCAAATCCTGGGAGCTGGGGTAATGAGTACTTCAGTGCTGAAGGGGTAGATCTGGGTGGCACACCACAACATTCACTACAGCCACAATGGCAAGATCAGTTTTAGTGGAGTTGGGAGGGTGGAATGGATACTGTGGTGCCGGAGAGATAATGCAGGAGATGAAGACTTGTTCAAATAGTGAGCCTGTCAAGAGGAAGAGAGAGAAGATACTCAGTAGCAGTTCCTGCAAAGACTGGAAAGGATGGGATAAAAAATGTAGGTAGTAGATTTGCCTTGTGCAGGAAGTGGTTCATTTCCAATATTTATAATCAAAGAGAAGAAGAGAGTTCAGATACAGATAAGTTTATAACATTAATGGAAGAGAGTTGAGGCAGTTCTTATTTGGTTCTTCTGGGAAAGAGCTGGAAGAATCAACAACTGGAAGGAGAGTTGGTTGGATTGAAGATTTGAAGTGAGTGGAGAAGATTTTTTATACATTGCTGTTAATAGAGTAGGAGGAGAGCACCAACAGGATAGCCACTGGTGTTGAGGGCCCATTTGAGGTTGATGTTCCTGATTTTGTAGAATTATGAATTTGTGCAGTTGTGCGACTTTTTCTCTGGTGGCACTTAATGTAGTTAAAGTATAAACATTATGCTCGGTGTCTTACCAGACTATTTTCTTTTTCTTTTGCATAGCCATCAGATCAAGTCATTACAGTACAGTAACACAGGAGACATGATTCTTGTTGTATCTGGAAGCTCTCAAGCCAAAGTGATTGACAGAGATGGTTTTGAAGTAATGGAATGTATAAAAGGAGACCAGTACATTGTAGACATGGCCAACACCAAGGTAAGCGTTAAACAGAATGTTTAATGAATTTAATTAATTCAGCACATTTATTAACAACTTGTTTGAGTTGCCACAATTCATCCCCAAAATTAGTGTCTTGTTTTAGACAATCTGTTATTTCTCACAATTCTGTGGATTTACCGAGAAATTCTTCTGCTTCATATCGTGTCAGCTGGGTCACTTGAATGGTTATAAGGTCCAAAATGGCCTCACTCAGATGGTTTACACTTGGTGCTCTACCCCACGGCATCTCTTTTTCTCTCCCTCCTCTCTGCTCTTCACTCCCCCTTCCTCCCTCTCCCCTCCACCCACTCCACCTGTCAGTTTGGAATTTCTCATGGTGTGGTAGACCTAGTGGGGTCTGACTTCTTGCTTGATGTCTTGGTTTCACAAAGGATGAACATGGAAACTCTAGATGTCTTAAGGTCTGGCTTCAAGTCTTATGTAACATCACAGGGACAGCTCAAATGTAGAGAGAGGGGAGATAGACTACCATTTGATGAGTGAGTGGCAAGATCACATTTAAATATCACGCGGGATGGGAGACATGGATGCAGCCATCTTTGGAAACGTATCTACTACAAGCCTATGTGGTAGGCTTTAGGACAAGAAGGGAAGAGGGTCCTCATCAACTTTTTTTATAATAAGATTTTGAGTGGGATAATGATATTTTAAAATTATTGTATAAGTATATTAAATATCAATTAACTGTAGCCACAATAATGTTATAAAACTTAATGGCTTATTTATAGTTGCTAACGTATCTGTGGGTTGGCTGCGCTTGTCTGGGTTTGGCTCCAAGCTGCAGATAGAGTCTAGATCTGTTCTATATGTCTGTTCCTCCTTGCACCAGTGGACTACGTGAAGGCATGTTTTTCTCATAGTGAGGACAGAAACACAAGAAGGAAACCCCAACTCTGGAAGCACGTTTCAAGCCTTTGCTCATATCATATCCATGAACATTCCATTGGCCAAAAACAAGTCACATGATCATGAGTAACATCAGTACAGTTGAGAAATATTTCCAGCCTCTGTTGAGAAGATCTATAGTATCACATGTCAAAGGTTTTGGATACAGGGAAGGTTGATGGATTGATAACAATAATGCAGTCTACCACAGATCTATAAAAGTGTCAATGGATATGGTTGATGCAGAATTTTGAGCCTTCATTTTAATTCTGAGTTTTACTCTTTCTTCCCCCCTTCCTGTTTAGTACCTTCTCTACATGCTAATTAATCCCCATGGTTTGTGCCTATATCAAAATCTTGTATGAGATTTGATTGTCCAAGAAAATATAGTTTATTCTCATTATTCATGGTTTCGATAATTGCAGAGTCACCTACTTTCTTTTCTTTCTTTTTTTTTTTTTTTTAGCTGAGCCATCCTGCCACCTGTTGGCAGCTCAGCAGCTGCTCAGCTCGGGCCGGGACTTGAACCGCTGTTGCTCAGAACTCGCACTCTTGAGCGAGCTCTTAACCAACTGAGCCACTCGGCCGACCCCAGAGTCACCTACTTTCTAAAATTATTTTTGACCCCAAAATCAATACTCAGGGCGTTTTCATGGTCATTTGCAGACATGTACTTGCACTCAGCAACAAAAAAGAGTTGGAACAAGGTGATGCCCTGTCTGCCTTCTTGTTTCAGCTCTCGTACTGTAGTCAAGTGTCCTTTTTGTGGCCTGTTTACTGCTATGTTTTTCTTATTTTTGTGCTTTTTGTTGGTGATTTTGCTGTTTAAAATGGGCCCTACGTGCAGTACTGAAGTGCTGTTGTCCTGTTTAGTGTTTGTAAGTGCAAGAAGTCTGTGATGTGCCTTATGGAGAAAATGCATGTGTTAGATAAGCTTCGTTCAGGAATGAGTTATAGTGCTGTGTTGGCTTTGAGTTCCATGTTAATGAACTTATATCTATTAACAAGGTGTCCTGAAACACGAACATACATAAAACAAAGGTATGTATTGATTGGTTGATGAAAATATGACTAGAAGCTTTTGGGAACCTAACCCTGTATTTGATAATTTAATGTTTGCAGGACCTTATACACCATAACTACTGTGAGTCATGGGAATTGACTGGAATCTATTTGAGGTGCTCTAGTTGACCTATTGGAATAAAGTTTGTTTCAGACTACCCTCTGTTGAACATTATTGAAGTGCCTCTCAACCCTAATGAGGATTGCAACCTGATGCCTTTTGTTTATTTACTAATTGTTTGTTGCGTGTCCAGTAGGTGTTAGATGATTGAAACAGAATTCAAATATAATTTAAACATAAAATTATATACAATTATACTATAATGATGGCTTGAATAGTGTTTTTTTCTCCCCATGTATTCTACCAGAGTTTCTCATTCCCCTCCCCTTAAAATCATCCCTAGGGAGTTTACCAGATGTTGTTTTGAGGGTGATGGTGGTAAGGAAATAAAGCAGATGGGTCCCCAGATCACTCTCTATCTTAGTCTCAAATAGTTCTGTTTTCATTCATTTTATTTTACGCTGCTGGGAATCCAAACTTAATTTAAACAACTGGTCTGTGGAAATGAAAGCTTAAAAACTCCTATTTAATTTATTCTTGGTTTTTTGTGTTTTTTTTTGGTTTGTGCTTACCAGAGACAATTTTTCTTAAAAAGTGTGAGTAAGATAAGTTTTTGCCAGCCTGCAAGCTCTTTAATGATTTCAGTCACTCAAGGCTACTTACATTATAAAAACACTAAGACTTTGTTGATTTAGGTTTTAGCCAAGAAAATTTAAGAAAGAAAAGAATCTGATTGGTTTTGTGTCAGGCTATTTCTGTAATCTCAGACTTAAACATATAATACATGTAGTAAGATGATTAGGAAAGTAGAAAAAGGATGATTAAACAAGTCTAGGTAGAAATACAGGAAATTAAAATACTATTAATTACTAATATAAAAAAGCTATGTATTGTAACTATACTGTAACTTACCCCCGCCTTCCTAATATTATCTCTATTTTTATTTCAAAAATCATGGTTAATATTTATTCTCTCCATTTCCCAGAGGCACACATAATTAATTGATCATTTACTTGTCTAGGAAATGTTACTGATATCTTAATTGTAGCATTTAGCTTGAGTGATGTGTTTTGGAAATTCAAGAATTATTATTTGAAAGTAGTAGATTTCATGGAACACTTTTTTTCTTAACTTTTAACCTCTTTTCTAATTCCAAGAAGAATTAGTAACTGTGGCTCTACTGGCAATTCAACAAATAGGCTATTAAAGGAAACAATTAAATATATCTGATCTATTATGATAAAATATTAAGTACTTCAAATACAAACAGGCCTAATTATATTCTAATTATATTGTCAAATTGTTATCTTGTTAAATTTGTATCTCTAATCTTTATATCATTTTGTGTGTGTGTATATGTATATGTGTGTGTGTGTGTGTGTGTGTGTGTGTGTGTGTGTGTGTGTATATATATATATATATTTTTTTTTTAAATATTTTATTGGGGAAGGGGAATAGTGTGTTTTTCTATGACCTATCAGCTCCAAGTCAGGGAGTTGTTCCAATCTATTGGGTTGTCAGAAAAGCCATGATGCATTTTTGCAACAAAAAAACATAGAAAAAATATGTCATGACTTTTCTGACAACCCAATAGTTGTGGAGGGCGCAGCTCAGCTCCAAGTCCAGTCACCGTTTTCAATCTAGTTGTGGGGGTCGCAGCTCACTGGTCCATGTGGGAATCAAACTGGCAACCCTGTTGCTCAGAGCACGTGCTCTAACCAACTGAGCCATCTGGCCACGCAGTGTATATGTATTTTTTTAAGTGCACTGATAGTACAGAAATGCTTTTTTTCTGTTAACATACTACAACACAATATATTACGGGGAGAGTAATTACACTGAAACCCTTTAAAAATAAAGCTTATTGGGTTTCTAACAATAATTCCTGTCAATTATAGAAAATTTGGAAAAGAAGAAAACATTACTCATGATTCTACTACCCAAATATAAACACTGTTAACATTTCAATTTCTATATGTCTTTTTTCCTTATGTGTCTTTTTTCCTTATGTGTCTGAAAAAAGTTTTTCTGATCACACCAGAACCTTTACTTCAGGTATTGCTTGAAGGACCTTGGGATTGTGTGCTAGTGCCTCAGGGGCTGCTGTGGGGGGATGAGCGGCCTCGGGGCGGGAGTGAGGGGCCAGGGACTTCTCACCTCAGCCAGAGCAGTGCTCATTCTGTCTGTTTTGTGGTCAGTGTTCTTCATAATATATCTTTTGAAAATCAGGTTTTGCTGCTTCTTTATTATTTTAAAATAATAATTTTAAATAAAATGAAATGAAATACAATAAAACTTGTTTTACCTTGGAAGTGGGACATTACTTTTTTGGGTTCAGGTGATTAGGGAAGTAGGACAATGAAAAACAGGAATCAGCCTTTAAACCATTCAAAAACATACTTTCAAAACTGTAGTTATATTGTCATCTAAAACTCACTTATTCTAAATCAGAATTTTGGCATGTTACTTCTCATTAGAGTATTTTTCTCTATTACTTTGAATTCTTAGGCACATACTTTGCTTGGGATTCAAATGGGGCTCTTTGGCCTAGTGCCCATAAATGTGTGACTATTGTTTCTATCCCTCGAAACTCCATCATAACAAATATATATAAAACTTTATAACAAATCAGTATTTAGTCAAATTCAAAAATGTTTTGGTAGATTATTAGTAAAGTGAATGACGATGGTAATACTGTTACGATATCATTTGTTAAACTTTTGTGAATTCATCTACAGTTGATATTAAGTGCATTGTCTTCGGATTGTCTTCAGCTCTTTTTAACTTCAAAACAACCTGTGCCATTTATTTCTAAATTACAGTCAGGCACTGCATGGCATTTTGGCCAAGCACTACATATATATGATAATAGTCCCACAAGATTATGGAGCTGAAAAATTTCTATTGCTTAGTGACATCATAGCCATCATGTCAGTGCAACACGTGACTCACATGTTTGTGGCGATCCTGGTGTAAACACACCTACTGTGCTGCCAGTTGTATGAAAGCATAGCATACAGTTATATACAGTACATAATACTTGATAGTGATAATGAATGACCATTACTGGTTTACGTGTTTACTGTACTATACTTTTTATCATTACTTTAGAGTGTCTGCTTTCTACTTATTAAAAAAAAGTTTACTATTAAAGAGTATGCCATGTTATGCTGGCAGCAGCCCCAAACATTTTGTGTTTACCTTGTCTCTTGATTGCATCACTTTCTTTTGTGCTTGATTTAGTCTCGGGTTGTTTTATGAATTTAGTGCAGCCTTAGTGTACAGTGTTTATAAAGTCTGCAGTTGTGTGCAGTAATGCCCTAGGCCTTCACATTCACTCACCACTCACTCACCGACTCACCCAGAGCAACTTCTAGTTGTGTAAGCTCCATTCATGGTAAGTGCCCTATACAGGCATACCATTTTTTTTTATCTCTTATACCGTATTTTTACTGTGCTGTTTCTGTTTTTAGATACACAGATACTTACCACATGTTACAATTGCCTACGGTATTCAGTACAGCAATAGGCTATACCTCACAGCCCAGGTGTGTAGTGGGCTGTACCGTCCAGGTTTGTGTATGTGCACTCTATGGTGGTAGCACGATGATGAAATCGCCTGCCAGTGCATTTCTCAGAGCGGATGTTAAGTGGCGCATGACTCTGGACGTGATTAAAGTGGGAGAGGACAGGCTCAGAATGCTTGGACCTTTTAGTGGGTGATTTCTCCAGGAGCGTACTTCAATTATGGAAATCGGAAGCTTTAGAAGGAATTTCAGGAAAATATATTTTCCAATGCTTTATTTATTTATTATTTTTTTAAAAAGATTTTTATTGGGGAACTGGGGGGATGGGAACAGTGCTGAGGAATTGGGGGAAGGGGAACAGACAAGTTGCTGTCGTTTTGTTCTTCAGTCTAGTTGTGGAGGACGTTGCTTCACTGGCCCAAGTTGGCACCATCATTGCGCTCTTCCCGGGTGAGGCAGATCAGTCGCCAGCTTCTGGACCGCCGCTCACTGCGGCTGCTGGCCGCTCACGCTGGCTGCTGGCTACATACGGTAGCCCATGGCAACCCACTGCCACAGGGGCTGCAGCCTACGCCATCGCAGGCGACTCACAGCAGCCCAGCTCCAGGTTGAGCTGCCGTTCAGCATCTTAGCTGTGGAGGGCAGTGTTACTGGCCCTCATATGTGGGATCCGAACCGGGACCCTCTGGTGTCCCAAGCCAGTTTTTAACCATCGCGACACTCGGCCGGCCCTCAGATGCTTTATTTATATTTGCATAGCACTGTAGTTAGTTATTCTGATATCCAACAACTCTAAAAAATTGCCTTTATACTTTGAGATAAAATTTAATCATGACTTTTTCATGATAAATACTGTTTCCCAAGGAGTAAAATATTTTAAACTGTGAAACTAGGTATATTTTTGTTTCTGTAAGCAGTTTTAACTGATGGTTTTAACCGCAAACATTCACTCTAAGAAGTGCAGTGATTTGAAGTACAATGTGTTTCTTTCCACTTTTCTGAATACTTCTGGAGCTTTTTGTCTAATAGAAACTGCCTCACACTGGTTTCTGTCCTTTAGACATCCCATGATTTTGGGGGTCCTTTCTTAGACTCTGGCACAACAAAGTGTTTCCAGGTTCATCTTGTACTTTTCCTGCTCTGATGTTCCCCATTTTTCTGGTGATCCATGGCTGCTTTTATTTTTATTTTTATTTTTTTGAACTTTTATAAGAATTTATTTGAGCCAAACTCTATGGCTGCTTTTAATAGGGAATTCTATTTATAAATCAAGATCTGGACATTAGATTATTTCATTGCTGCTGAGATGCCATTGCTTCTAGACTATTTCAGAAGAGAGAGATGGGGTGGGGAGAGCAACTAACCAATTAAGAAAAATAAACAGGGCCAGCTGAGTGGCTCAGTTGGTTGATTTGGCTTAAGAGTGCGAGCTCTGAGCAACAGGGCCGCCGGTTCGATTCCCACATGGGCCAGTGACGCTGCACCGGAGTTGAACTGTCGCTGAGCTGGCAACATGTGATAGGATGGCTCAGCTGGTGTAACAACAAGATTGCCTGTTCAATAGTGGGCTATGTCCACCCGCAACTAAGACTGAACTCAGCACATTGAGCTGAGCTGCTGCCTGGATGGCTCAGTGGATAGGGTGTGTGCTCTTAACAACAAGGCTGCCGGGTTTGACTCCTGCATAGGATGGTGGCTATGCCCACCAGCAACTAAGATTGAACACCTTGAGCTTAGAGGCCACGAGCTGCCGACGGGAAGCCAGGTGGCAACTGGCGCCCTCCACAACGAAGATTAAGAGCAACAACTTGGCTGGTTCCCCTTTCCCAATTTCCCAACACCGTTCCCCTCCCCTAACTCCCCAATAAAATCTTTTAAAAAAGGAAAAAAGAAAAATAAACAAAATACATACAAAAAATCAGGAGTTCACACTGATGCATCAAATTCTAATTCAACTTCCTAGCTTTAGCTATTCCTATTTGTATTTCACTTCTCCAACAGTGAGAAACTTGGCTTGCAATATCATCATTATATTTGCTCATTTGTTCAATGCTAGGGTACCTAGAAAGTAGTTTCAGAACAATGGTTCTTGTAGACAGATTTCTGAATCCCCCCCAAGTTTCTCTCCCCTTCCCCTGAGTGTGGATGTGAACCATGAGTATGATAAGACACCTCTGTGATCAGGTTATATTGTATGACACAATTGACCTTAGGAAAGAGCGATTATCATCAGTGGATTCGGCCCAATTAGCTGAGCCCTTAAAAGGGATTGGGCTCTTCCTGGCAAAAGAGACTCGAATTGTGCGAGGGATTTGACTGGAGGGAAATTCTCTGTTGCTGGCTTTGAAGATGGAAGCGGAACTAGAGTGATGAAGTTGGAAAAATACCTAAGGAGATATCCAAGCAAAGGTTTTGCTGCTGATAATAAAATATGAAAGAAGAAAAATTGAAAGTCTTGTTAAAAGTGAACCAGGACTAGATGATTTGGCTAATTTTGAGCCTATACAGATGGCAAAGAATGTTAAAATGAAGACATTGCTTCTGAAATCGTGGTTAGAGGAAAAGCCAAGGTTGTGGCTGTATAGTCTTTTGCTAAAACCTCAGAAAGATAAAGTCAGGGTATGTTACACCAAAGACTCTTTCAAGAAATTCAGCCTCATAGGTCTTCTCCACCAAACCAGCCTCTAAGAAGGGTACTACTCCTTATCCATTTCAACAGGAGCTACAGATAAAGAAGGGTTTGTTTTGCAGAGATTTGGGGGCATGTCTTTTGTCTAATTCAGATTCAACATGAGGAAGATTCTCATATGCTGGCTTGGAAGATGGAAGAATCATCTGGCAAAGAAGGCTTCTGGATGCTGAGAGCAGCCCTCAACAGACAGACAACAAGGCAGGCATCTTAGTCCTACAACCACAAGGAACTTGGATTCTGCCACTGAGTGAGCTTGGAATCGGATTCTTCCCGTGAGCCTCCAGAAAGGAATGCAATCCTAGTGACATCCTGATTTGTCTCTGAGACCCTGGGCAGAGAATCTAGCCACATTGTGATAGGACTTCTGACCTATAAAACTGTTAGCTAATACATTGGTGGTGTTTTAAGCCCCAGAGTTTGTGGTAATTTGTTATACAGCAATACAAAACTAATACAGTTCTGCAAAAACAAACAAAAAACCCATACAAAGTAAAAATGATAGTCCCTGGGAAGGTGGTAGTCATTGTGGTTAATCCTAAGAGCAGGAGTTAGCTTTGAGTGGAAGGAGGGACTATATTAATATTTACACTGGGAGTGGAGGGATAAGGATAGGCTTATATGCAGATATGTGTATAGGTGGTGGGCCTTAGATAGGAAGTTGAAGGTGTCACCATCTACTGGCAGGGTCATTTCCTGGTTTTGTGTTCGCAGATGTTGGGATGAGGCCATCGGTAGGTTAGTAAAGACTTAAAATAACAATTGATAGCTGTGAGAGGAAAAGTACTAGAAGAATACTGGAGCATTAAGGGCTATGAAATGTAAATTCGTAGGGACAGTCATTTTGCATATTCCTATGATACTCTTGGGTGTTTGAATGGAATACAATGATGGGGAGGAGAGAGCTGTTCCAGAATAAAAATTGTTCATTGTAGGCACAGCGAAAGGGCACGCAGGTTTATACTGAGAAAGTGGTTGAAGTTTAGGGCATTGAAAATGAAAAGATGATAGGAGGTTGTGTGACTAGTAAGTGGAATGTCTAGAGCCTAGAACATACCAAGTGATAAATATTTGTTAAACCAATAAATATTGGAAGTTCATGATTTCAGAAGAGGAACCATGTGTGGTAATGGCAGAGTTAGCTATAGCTGGTGTTGCTGAAATATCTTAGGTCATTGGCATTGAGTAGATCAAAAAAGAATGAATTTCTCTCTTTGATGTGTTCAAGTGGATTTTAAAATTGCTCAGGAATTAGAAAGACTTGGACTTTAGAGTGCTTGATTCATCGAAGGAAATGACTAAGAGTGTGATAGATTGCAACAGGGTTGGTGAACCAGGCCTGTGGGTGAAATCCAGCCTGCACCCTGTTTACATAAATGAAGATTTTATTGTAACACAGCCATGCCCATTCATTTACTATTGTCTAGGGCTGCTTTTGGGCTACACTGGTAGAGCTGAGTGGTGAAGCAGAGACCCTGTGGCCCGCAAAGCCTAAAATACTTACTGTCTGGACCTTGAGAGAAAAAGTTTGCCAACTCCGCAATTAATGCTCTGATTATTTTCTCCAGCAAAGTGTGTACTCACATACAATTTTGCTGATAATTTTAAGAAGTTTGGTGATTCTGGAAAGCCTGTGAATGGACTCCGGTTAAGAAGAGCTTTTGGATCAAAGCTCATAGTATATTCTCTGTTGCATTTTTATCTCTTCATAGGAGTTGCCTCTGTTAGTTAGCTCATCATTCCAGAGACTTGGGTACTTTTGTTCTGTGAGTCATAAATGCCATTCAGTGACTACAAATGGCACTGCAGCAGGGCAGCTGTTTTGCAGCTTTTGTCATAGGGGCAGCCACAGGAGTATGGACATCTCAGTGGTGTGTGTGTGTGTGTGTGTGTGTGTGTGTGTGTGTGTCTGTGTGTGTGTCTGTGTCTGTGTGTGTGTAGGAAGCCAGCATTGGTCATGGATCAGTAATATTCTTTCTTTACAAAGTATAGCATATTATGAGAAACAAGTAGATGCTTAATTTTTTCTTCTAGGCTGTTTCCAGTTAAGGCTGTTAACTCAAGGAAGGGATTTACCGCCCTCCCTCCGCCCCCCAGAAGTGCCTTTGTTTAGATAAAGGAGAAAGAGGGAAAAAGTAGTTTATTTGATGAAAAAGTGTTTTAGTCACTGAGTGTTCTTTAATAGGTGTCACTTCAAAATTTTTTCCACTAGTTAGCCATGGTACCAATTCTGTTTTGATCCAGTTAAGAATCCTTAGTTGAACTTCATTTTTGTTATGACTAATCTTGGTCCCTGTTTTCACACAGGGTGCTTAACGTTCCCGTTGCCTTTGTCATGCTTCTGTCTTTATAAACAAGAAACAACACTCACAGTCTTTCAAATTTTTTCAGTTTAACTTACTATTTGTGTTCCTGCCCTGGGTACTCAACAGCTGAGGTGACCACATGTTCTTTTATCTTAATGTTCTTTGTAATAGGGATCATTTTCTTTTGGTCCTCTTTAAAATATCCTTTATATTCCAAGATGCTATTTCCACTCTAATCAGATATCAGTAAGAGACCTGTTTTCTGGGGCCTGCCTTCAGGTCCTGCCTCGGCTGGATTAGTTGTTGGGTTGCTGTTAAGACAAAGTACAGGAAGTGAGACTCTTAAGTGCTGACTTTGGCTGCACCCATCTGTAGAATTGCCGAGTCTGGAAGTGGGAGAGGAAAATGGTTAACTAGGGGCTGCCTGGGAGGCGAGCAGACTGCATTAGCTTAAGGGACCAGGTAGAGATGTCAGTGGAGATGAAGCTGAGTTAAGCAGAGGAGGAGCATGAGGGCGTGTGCAGTGCTGTGCAGGATGGAGAAAGCCAAGGCAGTTTAGGTTGAAGTCCCTAAACACTGGGCACGCCTTGGGTTATTGAAATGTTCCTTTCAGGGCAAATCAAGAGCTGTTTTCCTGGCCCACAGGCAGGTATTTAATGGGGTGAAATTAGACCAGATACCTATTGACTGCTTGGCATTAGAAATTTTTTTTTTCTTAAATAGCCACAGATGGATAAATTTCTATTTTGCAAAGAGATTAATGGGACCCCTGACAATCCTATGGCTTTTAATTGATCAGCAAGTCAGTTAATTATTATCTTTCAGTACCTTAGGTGCACAGAATTGAGGGGAACCTAACTCACTTCTCTGTTCATGGCACCCTATCACCATGCCATCCATATCTGATGATCAGCTCTCAGTTCTCATCATACTGTAACTGTCAGCAGTATTTGACACAGTTGATAATGCTCTCCTTGAGACACCTTCTTTATCTGAATTCATCTCCCTTGAAACTGTGGTTTTAGATGCATATGCACATTAATAATTGTTATGTCTTTTTGGTTAGTTGACCCTTTATCATTATGTCATGTCTCTCCTCACCTGCTTTGTGTGGTATTAATATATCCACTCCAGCTTTTAAAAAATTACCCTTTGCTTGGTATACGAGTATCTCATTTTAAAATTCATTTATTCAACAACACTGAGTGTCTGCTCTATGCGAGGCACTGAGAACTCAGCATTAAAAATAAAAAACAAAGGAAAGCCCTCATGGAGTTTGTATTCCAGTGGAAAGACAGGCAAATAGGCAAAAAAAATATATAAAAAAATCAGAGAGTAGTAAGTGCAATGAAGAAAAAGGAAGCCAGTTAAGGGGTCAGAGAGTGACTAGGGGCTGCTTTTAGATGGAGTACTCAGGGAGGCTCCTCTGAGGAGGGGGCTTTTGGAGACCTGGATGAAGGACCATGAGGGAGCCAGCCAGGTATCCTTGGGTATTTGAGAAAGTACCAGCAGACAGAGCGATAGCAAGTGTCAGGTCCTGAGACAAGGTGCTTGTTACATCTTTTTCCATCCTTTATTTTTTTAACCCATCTATATCATTATGTTTCAAGTGGGATTCTTGAAAGAAACATATTGGTGGGCCTTGTTTTTTTTTAATGCATTATGCAATCATTGTCTTTTAATTGGTGTGTTTAACTCATTTAAGTTTAATGTAATTATTGATATGGTTGGATTTAGTGCTATTTTATTCTTTTCTGTTTGTCCTTTCTGTTCTTTGTTCTTTGCTTCTGTGTCTTTTAAATTATTTGAGTGTTTTTAGAATTCTATTTTTATTTACCTGTTGGATTTTCATTCTGTCTATCTGTATAATTATTTTAAAGTGGGGGCTTTGGGGAACAAATTTTACACAATCTACTTAGAATTAATATTTTACCATTTCAAGTAAAAAATGGAAACTGTACACCACATAGGGCCCTTCCCCACGCTTGATGTAGTTGTCTTACCTATTACATCTATATGCTTTGAAAAATCCTATCAGGCAATGATATAATTTTTGTTTTAAACAAAAGTTAAAGATGAAAAATAGTGCTTTGTTTACCCTTTTTTTTGTTTCTTCATTGCTTGTATTCCATATTTCTCTTTGTTATTTCCCTTTCACTAAGAACGTCTTTTAGCGTTTCTTTTTAAGTTTACTGCAGTAGAATTCATATACCATAAAATTCACCCATTGAACTTGTATATTCAGTGGCTTTTAGTATGTACAGTGTTTTTTAGTATATTCATGGTATAGGCAACCATCACCACAACAAATTTTAGAACATTTTTATCACCCCCAGAGAAACACCTGAAGATAACAAAAAGATCAGAGATTGTCAGGAGTTAGGGGTAGGGAAGGATGAAGAAGCAGAGCCCTGATCATTTTTAAGACAATGCGACGAATCTGTATAATACTATAAGGGTGGTGACGTGTCCCAGATTTGTTCAGTCCCGTAGAATGTACAACACCAAGAGTGAATCCTCATGTAAACCATGGACTTTGGATGATAATAACATATCAAGTAGGTTCATCAGTTGTAACAAATGTACCCATCTGGTGGAGAACCCTGAAAATGGGGGAGACTGTAGATGTGTAGGAGCAGGGCTATATGGGGATCAGTTTTTCTCTCAGTATTGCTGTGAACCTCAAATTGCTCTAAAAAATAAGTTCTATTAAAAACAAACTCCTTATCCCTTCTCCATCATCCCCTACCCTTCAACCCCTCTAAGCCCTATGCAACCACCAATCTACTTTCTATCTCTCTAGATTTGCCTATTCTGGATATTTTGTATAACTGGAATCATACAACATGTCGACCTCTCTAACTGGCTTCTTCCACTTAGCATAATGTTTTCAAAATTCATCCGTGCT